TACATATATATATATATATATATATATATATATATATATCTCGCTGAAGTTTGCTAACGTTAAACCATTAACTGACTGCACGATAGTCCCACGACACATTTATTTTCATGTCTGGTCAGGGCTGTAACCAACATAGATATTGATGGGGGCTAGTCCCCCCAATAATTAGAAATCGCTAAACTTTTTTTCTCAAATACGGCCATTTTGAGAGAGAGATGAAAAAGTTGCGTGTGTGATTATGTGCGTCTCTCTCTACAATGAGTGAGTTTACTTCAAAAGCAGTGATTTTATCCTCTCGTTGCTGGAAAATATAATGTAGCGATTCAATATTGAAACTATTTTATTAATAAAAGTTGCGGGGCAGCGTTGACAAGTTTCTTTGCTCCTGATGTTTGTGTGTGAGCTGCACGATCTCCGATATATATATATATATATATATATATGTGTGTGTGTCAATATAAGCAGAGCATTAAAGTCTGCATGAAATTAAAATGTACAATATTTATTTTGCTAGCGCACATTGTTAGTCTTAAGGTGAACAATTAATGCATGCGAGTTAATCCACTGAAAAAGTTTGTTTTGGTAATCTTTAATCAAAATCTGATCATTTGCTTCTGCTCTGGAATGGCAGTCCTTCTCGGATGACGTCAGTTTGATGGCTTGAGCAGAATATGCTTAACCATGCCCCTCCGACCATTAGTTTGCTGCGAGTGAGAGATGAGGAGCGCAAAAATAAACCCCGCCCTCTATTCAATATTCCGTTTCAGTTGGAAATACGTCATCATACTGAAATAAAGACGGCAACTTCCGGTTCACGCGGACTTACAGAACGGTAATTTAACGGCTCTAATGCACACCAGTATTCAGACAGACCATGGAAGCTAGACGATGTATGATGACATGTAATGGTGTAGTAGTGGTGTCCCCTTTCTTAGGGCAATATTTTCACCCCTACCCCTTGCCACTCTGTTTCAAGGGACAAGGGGAAGGAGTTTTAAATAGAATTGGGATTGGGCCTAAGTCTCTTCTACTCACCGAAGCTGCATTTATTTAATCAAAAATACAGTAAAAACAGTAATATTATGAAATTATCACAAATTAAGCAAAACTGTATTCTATTTTAAAATGTAATTTATTATGATAGCAAAGCTGAATTTTCAGCAGCCAGTTCAAAACAACATTTATTTTAAATACAAATCTTTTGCAACAATGTACTGTAACTGTATGTATTAAAAGTTATTAAAAATATTAAAAGTTAAATTAATTTCTTTAATAAAAAAACGTACTGACCTTTTGAATGGTAATAATATTGAATTAAATATAAAACATTTTATTTCAAATATATACATTTAAAATGTTACATAAAATGGGATATAATTAAATCCAAGAAAATGTAACAAACACTGATAATTAAAATGAAGAAGAGATGTACCTGTCTGAACGTGACGAAGTTCAGAGCGTTTCTTGCTCTTGTTCTTGCTTCGCTGACGACTGAGTCTTTCGATCATATCAGACTCATCAACGTGCAGTAAAGCACTTGCTGCTCCATTCCTGTTCTCACAGCTTTCACTCTCCTCCCCACCTGACAGACATTACACCATATTTAAAGGTTATAATGAGAAGCTATCTTGTACTGCAAATTAAAGAGATATGTGGATTACAAAGTGTTCGATTAATAAACTACAACTCATCTCAGTGACGAATTTGGTTGTTGGCATAAAGACTCTAAGTCTATTAGGAAGCCTGTCAATTTATCAGTTTAAATAAATTATCATCAAATTACTCAAATGAATTTAAAAAGATTGCATTCCTTATTAGCTTATGTACAAATGATTTAGGAGACACAATTTAGGAGAATAATAGGACACGTGCATATTTCTTAATAATTAACTGCACAAATTATTGATTGTGGAAAAAACTGCACAATACAACTTTTGAATATAACCAAAAAATGTGCATGTGTTTGACTAACTGTAAGCAGCTGCCCAAGCCACAGGCATGAAGTCTTTGTTGAGCGATGCATTGTCAATTGTCCGCTGAACATTTCCGGGGTCTTCACCCCCCACCACCACTTCCATGTAGACCTCATCTGTGATTTTAACCACATCTGTTTGAGGAAAAACCCATAGTATCATTTGGAGAAAACACTTTCACAACAAACCGACAGTAACGGGACTCACTGATGTCATCCTGGTTTTGACTAGCTTCACCGATTGACATGTAAACGCAGCCTAATTTTCATTTTTGGGTGAACTAACCCTTTAAGTGTTTACTGTTAAAAAGCTCTTTTTTAGTTTCATCTGACCATAGAAGTCAATGCCATGTGAAGTTCCAGTCGTGCCTGACAACTGAATATGCTAGAGTTTGTTTTTGGATGAGTTGTTTTCCTTGAAACCCATTTGAACAACATGTGGTGATGTAGGGGCTGTTTGATATATATTTTTTAGGCTTTCTGACCCCAAGATTCAACTAATCTCTGCAATTCTCCAGCTGTGATCCTTGGAGAGTCTTTGGCCACTCAAACTCTCCTCCTCACCATGCATTAGGACGATATAGACACATGTCCTCTTCCAGGCAGATTTGTAACATCTTTAGTTGATTGGAACCTCCTAATTATTGCCCTGATGGTGGAAATGGGGATTTTCTATACTTTAGCTGTTTTCTTACAGCCACTTTCTATTTTGTGAAGCTCAACAATCTTGTTCAGTACATCAGAACTATATTCTTTGGTTTTACCCCTTGTGATGGTTGATTAAGGGAATTTGGGCTTTGTGTTCCTCATATTTATAATCCTGTGGAACAGGAAGTCACGGCTGGACAATTTCATGCTCCTAGTCACCCTGGTGAGCTAATAAATGTGAATATGAATGGCAATATACTCAGAGATATTTTACTCATAAGAATATCTAGGGGTGCCAATAATTGTGGCCAACATGCATTAGAGAAAAACATTTATTTCATCATGAGATTTTCCCCTCACTTTCAATTGTTTTACTTCAATGGAAGGTTAGAATTTTTGTGATTTTTTTCAATGAATGCTCAAAAAGATCAAGATGCAGATTTATTTTCACAGCCGCTTTTGTTCATATTTACCAAGGGTGCTAATATTAGTGGAGGGCACTGTATACACACTAAAACAAAATGTGTTTGAAAAACTCTTTAATGAAGTTCTGCATCGTGCTGCAGACTTGAAGAAAGTTCAAACATACCCAAGTCTTCCTCCTCTGGGTGAGCCTTGATGATGTACACTTTGATGACCTCTTGACCCTCATCATCCTTCTCCACATCCTCTGGGTCTTCTAAAGTGCCCTCAATAGTAACTTTAGCATCCTCATCAGAAACCACCTTTCCAGCCTCATCCACTGAAATAAAATCAAGACAAACAGATGGTGACAAACAAGCAACATCCATGTTCTTGCATACTGCATCATTAAATGGTGTAAAGAATAAAGCAAAAAATCATGCTTTACGTTTACCACGTTCAACACAAAGTGGAAGCTTTAAACAGCAGCAACAGTAATATAATAAAAAGCACTTGTGTTTAATAAATCTTTTAGCAATAACAGTAGTCTGCTACAGGATGTATAAAAAATAAAAAAGGTGATTGCAACAGTTTCTTACAATTCGGACTTTTTTTCTTGCAACTCTGTATGTAAATGTAAGTTTATATCTTGCAATTGTTTTTTTTTGTTTATGCCATGAATATTCTGATAATTCTGATAATTACCACCAATAACTGATAAATATTGATATTAAAATTCTATACTACTTTATCTAAACAAATTGAATCTAAAAACATGAACAACTACAATCAGTTATTTTTAGTGATACATGATAAAGTGAATTTAGGCATCACAATATTATAATATAATGTATGGTATAGAAATTTGCTAAAGTTTAGATTTAACAGTGTTATTAAAATTACTCGTTTTTAAAAATTAACTTCAAGTGAGCTTTAGATGATGGCAAATATAATCTAAATGTAAAACTAGAGCAAATAAGCATGCACAGTTATATAATTAATATTAATGAAATTAATATCTAATGTATAACATAAATGAATATACCATTAAAATAATATCTGAATAAAAAATAATACAAATAATAATAATACAAAAAGGGCAATAACTGATATGGTACCAATATATTCTGCATCTCAAATAATAATAATAATAATGATGATGATCAGAAATTTTTTTATTTCAATAATACAGTAATTTGGGCAACATTATTAAGGACAAAAAAAGATCTATTGTCTATAGTCAATAGTGTTGCGATGCATGCAGCACAGAGGTCACTTCCGAACTAAGCAGCTTTCTGTTGGTCAACACAGCAAATTCATTGGATAAACTTGAACCCGTTGTGAAATTTATGAGAGGAAATCTTTTGCCATCCTTTGAAATGACTGGATTTCGCTTACAAAAAAGTGCCGAACAACAGTGCATGTAGCTGCGCCTTAAACATAGACTGTTTACTGTTGTCAAGCAACACAGAAACTTTCTGAACAATGAGTCATTAATATCCACAGATCCTTTCCAACAAATGCTCTATTCTGATTGGCTGAAGCCACTCACAAGAGATCATGAGGTAGTCTCCACAGGTGTCAGGATCCTCCTGTACCTGAGCGTCAGTCACCACATCAACCTGCAGTCCTTCCTCCTCCAGAGCCACATCATCGGGTGACATCACACAGGTCTCCACAGCAATGGTGCCAAGCTCTTCGTCTTCATCTGTGCATGGCACGTACTCCGCCACCACATCCTCGATAGCTTCCTGGATGACCAGCTCCTCATGGGCGAGGCCGTGCACCGCGATCTTCTCATCCTCCACGTCAGACACCAGAACCGACTCCTGCAGTTCTACCACCACCTCGTCTTCTTCTCCATCACCCTCTTCATGTAGAAGAAACCATAAAGTTCACACATAAATATCTTTACACTCATAAAACAACAATCTGAGAGGCTTCATCAGTCGTTGTTTGTTTACCTGTCCCATGGAATATGATCTTGGGCTCATGGGAATGGAGAGAGAGAGCCGTTACATCTTCATCCATAGCCTCCGCCGGTCATCTGCATAATATAAGACCTACAGGAACAACATGGAAAAGGAAATAAAACCATCAACACAATACGAACATGAAAGTCTAATTTGTGTAAGATTCACAGCATAAAATCAGCATTATATAATACTTTGTCAGAATTGTCTTGCAATAGGTTTAAACAATACATGTTAGGATATTAAAAAGATAACTATAAAACTGATAGTTCCGGTCCTTGATTCTGATTGGTTGGGCCAAGCTCGAACTTTGAAGCGGTTGTAAATTACTCTACAAACATACACCTTTGTTTACATTTGTGTGTTGCTCGGCAACCACTTTGTTGGAACCACAACCGTTTCTGAGGAACTACATTGTTTGGCGGAAGAATAATGTTTTTATTAATATCATTACACTTTATTTGGAAACAAACACAAAATTCACTTTTTGATATAAATTCACTGTAAATCACAGCTTCACAGGGCTTATTGCTTTACTAAAACATCTGAATAAAAAAGTGATAAAATACCAGGTTAAATATTAATATTTAGTTCCTTCCCATCACTAAAGCAATTTATTCCAGTTTATTAAATTGATTCTGGTTATGCAGAACATTTTTATATCCCAATCACATATATGTCTTGATATATTGCATAAAATAATAAATATAATTAGAATAAGTATAAGTAGAATGATAAATCATTTAGTTTAAATTTAACAACATGGTTAAATGTAAGCTTTAGCATATCTCAAAATTAATATCTGTCCTTCATACTATGCATCATAATATTGTGATGCCGAAATTCACTTGTAGTATTTTAAATGACTGATTTTAGTTAGTAGTGTTTTTTAGTGCTATCAATTGATTAATCGCATCCAAAATACGTTTGTTTACATAATGTGCTTGAACGGTGTATATTTGTTATGTATATATATAAATATACACACATGCATGTATATATTTAAGAAAAATATGTTTATATATTAAATACATTTAGATATAAATTATATTAATATAAATATATACATGTAAATATGTTCAAAATATATACCATATGTGTGTGTATTTATATATACATAATTAATACACAGTACACACACATATATTATGTAAACAAAAACTTTTATTTTGGATGGGATTAATTGTTTGACAGCACTAGTTTTATTTTATTTTGACAGAATTGTGTAGAATGTTAATAATGATTAATGTTTATATCAGTTATAGGCCATAACATGAAAATAGTTATAATATGTAACTTTATATTGCATAAAAAATACATAAAATAAATTATTTATAATGGAATTCATTAAATAATATTTAAATTTAATTTTTTTTAAATAATAAAATTATGAATACATCGAAGTACCTGATCACGACCAGTGAATATTTCTGAAAGTCTAGTACACCCTTAGGTAGAAATACTTTAAATTACAACACAAGCAGATTTATTTTCCAAGCTACTGAGCTAAAAAAATAACTATACAATAGGAATGACCTGATTATACTTTTAGTACAGCAGCTGTAAGGCAAACAGGCTTCCATGAATCCCATAATCTGATACTGTAATGCAGTGTTGACGCTTCTGTGACAGCCAGAAGGGCGTAGCACAATGCCCCGCCCACTGATATAAATAACCAGACACGCCCCCTTTCGCGATCATCGCCATTTTGACTAAATAAAAATAATACATAAAATCTCAAAAATATATACTTAAGTGTCCGCACAATTACACTTAATATGACCTGCAACACAGTTATAGTTTGCGTAATGCATCTGAACATGAAGTCAATGTGTAGTAGCTTATGAATCAATCATGCGCGTCTTGAGAGTCTCGTCTCCGCGGCCTACTTTAGGCCTCTGAAGGCCGCGGCTCGCTGCTAACAAAGGCCTACGCGCCATTGCAACGACGTTAATCTCTCAAACAGATAAACACGTATTTCACTCACACTCCAAGATATCGCATCAGATGCTAATCTAACAAATATGAACGTTCATATTCTGTTAAACACAGCGGCCTACCTTTTTGTGTTTGTTTTGTTTGTTTCCAAGGCCGTACGGGTTTCCGTCTCCCACCCCCAGACTCGGGCAGAGCGCAGACGGGGCTCTTGTGTGAGCAGGGCGGGCCGCCGCGGAGCGCGGAGGGGAGGGGCCGAGTCTGATGCGCTCCGCGGCGCTGCAGCCTCCAGCTCCGCCGGAGATTACGCCGCCTTCAGAGGCGCACGTCACTGCCTCGGAGCCGCAGGAAAATGCGGAAGGAGTCTCAGACAGGTGCCGCAGTCCGGCTCTTTTGGCAGGCCCGCCAACTGTATTTTCTCTGCGCGTTGGCGATTTTAAAACTAGGCTGTATTGAGTAAAACCAAACGAATGATTTTGCTTTTGTTTAGCGCTTTGGAAGTTGCGTGTGAGGGAGTATTTGTGGGCTTTATTTTGTGGTGGCGTCAAAGGCATATGATGCGGAATGATTAGCGAGCTCGGGATATTAGCCAGTTATGGATTTATGCATAGAAAATGGTTTAATGACCATAAAGGCTTATTAGGAAAATTGTTTTGGTTGAAAATATTTGCAGAGTAGCACATTTACACAGTTTAGTGCGTATACGGTTACTGACCTAATGGTTTGACGTTTTTATTCTTGTCTTTTTTATCAAGACGCTTGAACATGTCAGTTTGATCTTACATTAGGTACAGGCCAGCATACTTTTACAAACATAACTATTAACATACATTAAAAACCAAGCAAATATACATAAACAATATACAAAAATAATGTAAATTAAAAATAACACGACAGCATATAAGAAATATAACGATAATATTAATACTTGAATTTAATACTCAAGACTTAGCTAAGCAATGTGGTTGGTTAGAGATAATAAGATCGAGTTGAATGTTCTCTTCACACCATTAAATACTATAACTGAGGTTATTAATACAAGGTATAATGCAGCCAAACTGTTAGGACACAACTGCTGCTCATTCAAAAGCCTCAAAAACAATTTACTACATGCTTATAGATTAACTTCTTCATACTTTTAATATACAACAATATTTGTTCAGGATATTTTAAGTTTAATCAAAGGTGTAGAAACCATCAATCTGTTGTGGACCTGTACCCCCCACTTATAAATAATCATTAGTTATTGACTCAATGTCACCCCACACTCTCAAATGGCTTTGGGTGCTATTAATAACCCCGCATGCCATACTGCAATAAGATTTTTGGAGCATTTTTACAACTACATTGCTCTTATTCTTGAGAATAAGGTTTTTAAAGTAGTTTAATAGTAAGTGTAGTGGTTGAAATGAAGCACCATTTTCAGAAAACAAAGCACACAAACAGTTTGATCCAAAAGGTTTTTATTAGTCATCACTGAAAGATGTTGACAATATCTTTGTCAAGCCAAGGAATATTGTTTTCATTGCATTTCTCATATAAATGACACCAATCCTTCCACAGAGGATGGTGAACATCTTAAAATACAGGGCCAGTGCGTTCCTATCAAAAAGAGCCTTTCCCTTCACTCTGCGCTGACAACGAAACGCGCTGGCCTGTGCACGAGTGTGTGTGAAAATGATTTAATTATGTCCGGCAGAGAGACAGTGCGAGTCATTGAAAGAATGTGGTTACTCCTCAGTCATCGTCGACTGTGGGTGTGATGGTCACCCCTCTCCTGATCTGACCCCATCCAATCAAACTAGGGAAGAGAAACAAGTCAATGACTGTACAAACTGCATTCATGGAGTGAAAAATATATAAAACAAGTTTCTGATCTAATTGTGCATGATTCATTGATGCATATTATTGCACAGAACAAACAGCTGAACAAAAATGTGCTCACCGCCAATGTTTCTCCACTCTGCGACTCAAGGCGATCTTCTCCCCCACCTCTGTGCACACAGGGTTAGTGAGCACAATCTTGGCCAAATCAGCTTTCACTGCACTCACACGGCCTCCTGTCGACAGTGAGCCAATGTTTACCATCAGCACCTCATTCTTCGACAGCTTCTGAACCTGTTGGCCAAATTAGTATAAAAATCAAAAACTAATAGTATTCAAAATAGGACAAAAATACAGTGAAATCAGAATGCTTATTAATTAGTGCTGTCAAATCAATTAATTGTGATGAATTATATTCAAAATAAAAGTCTGTGCTTATGTAATATGTGACCCTGGCAACAAACCCAGTCATAAGGGTCAATTTTTTAAAATTGAGATTTATACATCATCTGAAATTTTTGTTAATATCTGATTTGTTAAAACGTTTCCATTTACACTTGGCCACAAAAATGTGTCGTCGCAAAACGGATATAAATCCGATCTTCAATTCCCGCGCTATATTTAAATTTAACGGAGTTCACGTCAACTAAATCAAAAGATAAGCGCTGCATTTTATTAATTATCAGCTCATTTCAAGATCAAAGACCGCAATAGGAGAGCGCGCGGCATCAGCACTGGAAAGATAAGTTTGTCATACTACTTTTAATGAAGATGACTGTGTGTTGACCGTCTGCGTATTACTTTGTTTCATTCGCGGCAGTTGTTTCGTCTGGAATGCGGCCCAGACCACCTCCTGAAGTGGTTTGAGCGATCGGATTTATATCCGTCTCGAATGCGTTTTGGAGGGCATTTACACCTGGTCTTTTCACGATCGGATAGCTATCCGACCAGATCAGAAAAAAAACGCATGAAGTGACCAGGTGTAAACAGGCCCATTGAAACTGAGGCTTAATTAGTAAGAGGCCACAGGTGTTCTTATCAGGACTCAGTCAACCAATCAGAACACAGCAGAATTTTCTACAGCCGCTTTGTTAACATATTTGCATACAGACTATACAATTTACATGTTTCATTCACAAAAACTACAGCCATTTTAACCCGTTGTAATTTAACAGAATATTACTAAATTACCATTAACCATAAAAGTTCCCACAATTTCCCAACTCTAACAATGGTAAAGTCAAGATTTGTATGTGAGGAACTGAATAAAGGGTACCTACTTTAACAATACATTAGATAGAGATAAATCATTATAAATACATGTAAATTTGGAAAACCATGACTCTGGGGAGACACTAGACAAATGGGAGCCATCCAATACTGCCCCAACAGGATACTAGATAAACACAAAGCTTCAACAAAACAGTTGCAGATGACAATACAGGCCATAACAGAACTCCTGGAAAAGGTGGAGGCCATGGTACTGGCAGGGTTGTAGAAGGAAATAGAAATGTCATCTGCTCTAATAGAATCCCAGAGGTAAAACAAGGCTCCAACAGCACGACTAAGATTAAGTTGATCACAAACTGGAACAGAGCAAACAGGACTGAACAAAGCGCCATGGGCAGCATAGCAAATAGAGAGAGTTCAAAGGGCCAAGCAGCGGAAACAAGAGGACAGAACCTTGATTAATTTCCCTCTTGTGAAAGACACTGAGCCATCTGTACCAGCTGATACATGCAAAGGCTGAGCCAACTTCTCTAATATAATGGGAACGGAGACAATGTGCAAGTGCTGAGCCGGCTTCTCTGCACCAGCAGAAATGGAGGCAATGTGAAAAGGCTGAGCAGGCTTAGGAGTCTGAGAGAAAAGACATACATCAACTTGCCATAACTTCTTCAAATCCTTGTGCAACTGATCCATGGAGAGGGAAGCTTGGAAGAAACACACTGTTATAAAATTAGTCTTCTCACCCAAAGAAGTAGGTCCCTGCAGTGTCCACCCCACGCGAGTATGCAAAGCAGCTGGACTTCCAGGAGGACCGAAACGTACTCGCTCTTTGGAACAAAGAAGGTGAGGATGATCAGCTCCCACTAGTAACATAGGTTTAACCTTCTGAAACTCCACCAGAGGGAGGCCTCTTAGATGTTGATAGCGTCGCTGGAGGATCTGCACTGGGGAAGTCTGTTCAGGCAAATCAAGCATTTGAGCAGTAAAGGCTCCTCGTATTTGGTATTTACTCTGCTTATGGAAAGCTGGCGAAATTGAAAAGGAAACAGTAGCACCATCAATTTTCTGTGCCTTGCCGAATGGTTCGAAGGACCAATGATTCTGCCGCCCCATGAAGACCTAAACTCTCTGCAGCCGAAGACATAAACATGGTTCTTTCTGAACCATCATCTAATATGGCATATGTCTCCAGAGTCTTTCCTTGGTGGCTCAAAATTACCTTCACGATTTTCAGAAGAACAGCGTTATGACAACTTGGTCTACTCAAATAAAATATCCCAGAATCAGGCTTGTGTGCATTCACTTCATGCAGTATTCCTAAGTGATGATTCTGACACACTGGACATTTTCTTTGCAGGTCAAAGTTGAAAGATCTATGGGCCCAGTCACATCTCCAACAACGGTTATTGTCAGCAATCCATTTCCGTTTGGCTACTGTATCAAAGCTCTGGAATTCAGGACAATGACTAAGATGGTGATCAGTACTGCAACAGTATGCACAAGATGGTTTACGGCCCTCATTCCTTTCCTGTGATCTGATAATTTCACTGTTAGTAGTTTCTATTTTCTTTCTCTTAGTGGGTAGGTTCACTTCTGGACTCTAAAAGCAACTGTTTGACATTGAAACGTGGTAGGCCTCCCTTTTCTTGTCTGAAACTTCACACCTTTAGATTGTTCAAACACTTGGATATCTAAATTCTGACATTCTGATTTCACTTCCAATCAAACAGAGAAATTAACCAAGTCAAAGGGCTCATCTGGTCGAGTGGTTTTAGCATATCTTGCAAAACTGGTGACCTGCTGTGCTGGTAGCTTACTAAGCAGTTGATGGACATGTGATGCACAGGATAACTCTTTAGATCTTTCATGATCCCAGGACTGAAGCATGCCTACAGCAAATTGAACAAACCCAACAGGATCTCCTGAATGTACAGCTAGCAAATTCTTAATAGCAGCAATCTCTCGAAGCACCAACTGATGTGGTTGATCATACCTTTTCTGAAGAGCCTTCAATGCAGTAGTGTAAGGCTGGGAATGATGGGCATAAGCCAAGGCTAAATGTCGGGCTGCATCAAACTTCAAATGATCCAGAAGAATATGATACTTGTATTGCTCAGTTTCTTCTGGGGGCAACATGGCAAACTCATGGGGGTCATCACTCTTTAAATATGGAAATGAAAGTCTTTCAATAAGGGCTGACCTGGAGGGCTGTAAAGCAGGCATCACTGTGTGGGGCACAGTCACTGCTGCTGGAATAGACATATGCTGACCAGGTACTATCATTTGTATTCCAGTTGGAGAAAGTGCAGATGTTTGATTCATATCTCTTTGCTGCTCTTGAGGTGCTGAAGCAGTGATATCTCTGGAGGTCAAAGGATTCGGGATAGAAATAATGGAAGGATTAGCTTAATATGGAAATCCAGCTGATAGATCTCTAGGAGGCAATGTTGCAACTCTTGAAGGATCACAATTAAGTGGAGCATGTTGGCCATAAGATGGATATAATACTGGATAAGGAAAATCAG